AGTGGGCATACAGAAAGTGTGTCCTCTTTGATTTATAATATAAATTAACAGGTATGGAAGATTAACTTCCTTTATTCAGTGTTAATTCTACTTGTTTTGGGTCTCCAGTTTACCTTGATATTTGATTAAAATCAACAACACTTAAAATTTTTTTTTTAAGTTTATTTGAAAGCCAGGGTAAGAGAGAGGGAGAGAACAGAGAGAGTGACTTCCATACACTGGTTACTGCCCAAATTTCCCACGATAGCCAGGGCTTGACCAGGTCAAAGCCAGGAGCCAGGAATTCCGTCTGGGTCTCCCACAAAGCTGGAAGGGGCCTAAATACTTGAGCCATCATCTGCTGCCTTCACAGATACGTTAACAGGAAGCTAGATTGGAAGCAGAACAGTTGGGACTGGAACCAGCCTTTTAATATGGGATGGGGACATCACAAGTGGCCGGGTAACATACTGAGCCATGAAGCTCACACCCAACATTTTCTAATTTAGTCTCCTTTAATTCCTTAAGTTAATCAGTATCCTTTCACATTAAAAACTGCTTTGGGCAAAATATTCAAACATCATTTCTAAGTCATGTTTACTCATAGAAGGTCATTTCAGGAATAATTACTCTAATTGGCCTTATTGCAGAAGAAGCAAAATAGAGATGGGACATAGTTACAGATATTCAGAGTGTGTAAACTTTGGGCAAAGTGGAGAATGAGCAGCATTGTGAGGCAATATGCTCTGCAGTCTTAGATTATGGTCCTCATTGTAAGCTTTTTAAACAGTTCAAACCAAGAAATGAGAGAATAGAATATTTTATTACAAGCTGTGCAACTAAATGTATTGAAATTCTGTAAATGGGTCGGTACAAGGTATTCTAATACAATTCTGATTCATAATAGGACCTATCTCTATGTTGACATCATGAAATAATTAGGATTTATTGCCTGTAAGACTTCAGTTCCATTCCTTAATGCCTTTCTTATTGGTAGATGGTTTGAAAAAATGATCAGTAGTCTTTCCTCGCTTCAGAATGCAGGTTCTTAGTTCCTGAGATAAATTTGAGAGCATGATAATTCATGAATATAAATGGATTTTTAAAGGCTAGCAATGTTAATATATTTAGATATTTGAAACATCAGTATTAGAATATAAAGGAAGTTGGCTGGTAGACAAGAGTGTTCCTTTTAGGTTCCCCACAAAGATTAGAGTCCAGAATTGTTCCACTTACACAGGCGCCAAGTTTATGGCCCTTAAATTTCATTGTAGCCATACTAGCTTTTGCAGCTTAAACTTTGCTTTATAAATTAGAAGTAGCAGGAAAACATTACTGATCCCTTCTAGTTTATGTCTTTGGGAACCAACTGTTGATGAATATTGTTTCTGTTAAGACATGAAAGGAAACTCTCCTGTTCGTTTTTCTGCTACAATTCTGTCATTAGAATCTTACTCCAGAGAATTTTCCTGTAATTGTGATGGATATGATAAATAATGGAAAATTCTAAGACCATCAAAATACTGAATTCAAGATGAGTAATTAAGACTGGAGTGCATTTGCATGAGTGCTGAGATGTCTTATGTTTATAGTAGGTCTTTGTTTCCTGTGCTCTGAGTGATGTCATAGTGCTGTGTGTAAACTGTGCTGTGTCAGAAATTGGGGGATTGGATGGTACTTTCTAATATGGGTACTATTTTTGTTAAATTGTAAATGATGATGTAGTGTGGGGTACTGTAATATTTTAAGTGATCATTGCCTTTTCTGCTGTACAATGTGACCCTTCTCATCTCTCTCATTCATTTTGCATGCCTCTGCTCACTTCTGTACAGCCACAGTTGAGGCTATTGAGGCTGAAAAAGGTACGATCAGAGTCTTTGCACTGGCCAGAGATCTGTGGTGTGTGGGTGGGCATCAGAGAATGTCCTATGGGTGTGTCTTCCTCTAGCTTACAAAGTCCAAGATGAATCATACTCACTGACTCAGCAAGTTTAGCTGTCACATTCCTCTAAAAAAAAATTCACAAAGGCTAATATCCATAGTGATAATCTTTTTACCTGTACTAGTATAATATGGAACCAGAATTTAACGATTCTGATTTTCTTACAGTATAGCATGTTATGCTATGTATTGTAGCTTTTAAAGTTGCCTGTTTTAATGGAAATAACTAAACTGACCCTATAAAAAGAGATCTCTTCCATATTTTGTGTGATTCTATACTACTCAGATTCCCCCCCCCCCCAATGAACCCCTTCTAGATACAGCTGAATCTGTTTTTTTCTCATTTTCAGTAATGTTGCTATGAATTTTTTTTTTGCATTTGGGCTATAGTTTACTGCAAGATTATATATATGGATATCATGTGTTGGCTTGATATCACACATTGCTGAATGTTTTCTGCCCCAGTCATTAGTTTGGTTCATTTGCACAGACTACGTCCCAGGGATTCTATGTATTAGACAACCAGATTTACATTAGTTTTCTATGAAATTTCCATAAAATTTTCTATGAAAATTTTGATAATGGAGGCTGCAATCATTCCAGCTGAAGGGAATGAGAATCCATAACATATTGGGAAGGATTGCCATTGTTTTGATTTGGGTTTCCAAAGAATTTGAAGTCAGTGGGCAGTGAATTAAGGAAGATACCTTCTAAAATATGAAAGTGTAAATGCTTTTTGTTATTAGCCAAACAGATCTAACTCCTGGAGGCATATCCCACCTTTTTCATTTCATATTGGTGGTGATAGAGTGATGGTACTTCGACCTCCAAGATAGTTGTGATTTACTAAATTTTAATTTACCTTTACCTCTTTCTCCTCCCACGCTCTTCGTACAAATTTGTATGTTGAGGATTAACCTTGCTTAGCCTCCTCACTTGCCCCTATTCTTGTTGTTCCCTAACTGTGATAGTCACTGTTGATTTTAGAGTCTGAGATAAGAGATAATTGGTATAGAAATCAAACTAAGACCCTCAGACTATTGCCTGAAAATTGATTTTATGAACAGGGAAGAATTATTTTCGTGGGTGTATTTTTAAGGCTATATTAATACTTGTCATCTATGAAACTATCATGTTTATATTTAGGTTTAAACATTTCACATTTTAAGGGAAAGAATGATGTGGGGATAGGATTCAGTTAAAGTAAGATTTAAGTGTTCCTATTTACAGCTAATTTCTCTCTTCTTAAAATTCATTAATTATGTTTTTGAAATCTCAGAAACATTTCTCAATTACTGACTTATCAAATTTGCATTTTGTTAAGCAATACGAGGATTCTCTCCACCACATAGAATCTGCAGTTTTGAAGAGGCAAAGGGTTTGGATAGGATCAATGAGAGAATGCCACCCCGGAAAGATGCTGTACAGCAAGATGGTTTCAATTCTCTGAACACCGCACATGCCACTGAGAACCACGGGACTGGCAACCATAATGCCCAGTGACCAACGGCTTCCCAGGGACTCTCACATCTCGGGCCCCAAATGGACAGATCACCCGAGGAGCTGGAGGGGTCGGCCAAGCTGACTGTAAATGTCACAGTCCCTCTGAAAAAACCATTGTGCTTTTGAGACCCCAGCCCCCTTCCTGGATGGAGGCTTTGAGGGCCCTGGGACATGTTGTGCTATCTGAAAAGATTGGGTCATCGCTGCCAAGGTGGAGAGCAGTGAGCAAGGGGCTTGGGGCAATTTCCAGTGGAGGGCATCTACTCCTCCATTTATGCTTGTGGTTCACACATTTAAGTTTACAAATGAGATTTCTTTTTCCCCCCCTAAGTAGAAATAGATTTTCTTTTTCAACCATAATTCAAATGCAATCTTAAGAGCTAATGTGGACTTTTTTTGTTCCATGAAATGTCTTTAAAGGATGAATTAGCATGGTCTTAAAATACATTTCTGAGATTACTAGCTGTATTTTGAATTGTAGGCAAAATGGTGAGAAACCCAGTTGGCGTTTATACAAATGCTGACCTCAGGTCTATTGTTCTTAAATGTGGCTAATTCTGTAACATAGTCTTGGTATTTTTCAATTATGAATGCATAACCAATTTCTAGGCAGATGCCTTACTTGAACACAAATCCAAAAGCTAATTTAGAATCTTCTTTGCCCAGATCTTTTGAGATTTACACCCCAGAGATTTAAGAAGAAAACCTCTAAATTTCAAAATTATGAAGAATTACAGAATTACTCATTTAAGGTACTTTAAAAGAAGTTTGTACATTGTCAAAGTAAATTTTAATTCAAATCATGTCTGTAAAACTTGACGTATTTTGTGTATGCATGTTTTCATTTTACAAATATTTAATATATAGACCTATGATGTACAGGTACGACATGTATAGGTTACCTAGATGTTATGAGAAATTTTAGTTTATTGTGAGTACTCAAGTTGCTTAAATAGCCACCAGGGTGATTTACTGCTGGCTTTCTATCATTTTTATGTTTTAATGCAAAGGAAATTTTTAAATGTTCCAGAGGTGTTTTTGATTAAGCAGTGCAGCCTAGAAGCAATGGTTCTTTTCAATCATTCAGATGTTAGTGGAAGCCTAAAAGTCAAGACTGCATGTTGAAATTTTAGTTTTGATAGTTACAGAACTGCTTGGTTAAACTAAATGGAACCATGTGCTCATTTTTCACAATTATTGACCTGTATTGATTGCCACTGTAATTTGATATTTTCCTATACTTTGGTGGCCTGCTTCCCTCATGCCCTGGAATACAACTCAGAGCTCCAGGCAGCGGAACCATCTATTGTTTTGTTTGCCAGAAAGTGCACCCTGTATGGTCTCCTGTCTAAGTTGGAAATATTATGCATGTGCAGGACTATTTGAATATTTTATAAACAGTAGCACACAATAAATTCCATGCATGGGCCGCTGCTCCTATCTCTGTGTTGGGTTTTATTTGGGAGATGAAGTATGATTGGACCTTTTAATGCAAATCAAAAAATCTTGTTAATAGAGCTGGAATATCCTTCAGAGAAGATTATCATGTGAACAGTGCATGGTGATTTGATGAATTCTTGTCTTCATAAATTTTGCTTTTTAAAAAACTCTTTGTTACATTTGTCTTATGTGAGCATTAATAGCTGAGCACTCGAGGAACTTTGGATACCTACTGTAGGCCCCCTACACCTAATATTTAAGAAATCACTATTTTCTTTAACTTTTATTTTAAAAAATATATTATTGTGTAGAGTTTTATTACAGTGGTGTTGGGAAATTATTGGGTGTTTTTTAACAATAAGAAGAAAAAATATTAATGAGACTGTATTTTTCTCCCATCCTGTTCTTTATTCTTTGCCATAATCAAAATAAATATAGGATTTGGCAAATTGAGGGAGATTAGGATGAGTTTCTCAACATTTTGTAACTAGTTTTATAATAATGTAATTATGTAATAATTTTAATTCTCAACAATAATTACAGTGGCACACATTATAAAGCATTAATTTAAATCAAATTATACTTACCTCATTCCAGATAACAAACAAAGCTTCTCAAATTGTTGATTATTACAGCTTCTACTATTATCACATTAACTTGCAAACTAGTTCATGAACTACCTCTAAAGTTATGTACTTCATACCTTAGAGATTCTTCTTGATGTTACTGCTTATGAAAGTTATGCATATTTAAGAGCCTAACTAGCATTATTAGGTGTCAGGAACTTCCTTAGTGCTAGGTTCATCATAAAGTTCTATGAGGGGTCTTCAAAAGTTCATGGAAAATGCATATTGTGAAAAAACTATGCATAACTTAAATTTTTTACCATAATAAACTTACCTTTTAAAAATTATTTGGGAGGCAGAGAGAGAGAGCACACACAAGCATGCCCTCCCATCTGCCTGTGCACTCACCAAGTGCTTGGGGGACAGAAGTCAAAGCTAGGAGCCATGAACGCAATCCAGGTCTCGACATGGATATCAAGAACCCAGCTACTGAGTCATCACTGCTTCCCAGAGTCTTTATTAGCAGGAAGCTGGAATCAGGATCTCGCCAGCAAGTCAAATGCAGGCACTGATGTGGAGCCTGGGTGTCCTAACAAGCATCTTAACTGCTAAGCCAGACACCTGCCCCTAAACTTCTCTTTTAATTCCATGAAGCTTTTGAAGTACCCTCATACAGTGTTTGTAGGAATCACGGATAGACCTTAGCAAACTAGAGGAATTAAGGTTTAATAGTAAAAATGGAGAGTAAGAGAAAGGAGTAGAACTCAGAGAAAGTGGTGAACTTAAAGAATCGTAGAATATCACCTGTCACTACAAAGAACATTTCCTAACCTGTTGAATGGGAACCTATTCCTAGTCTTTCTTCATAATTAGTTCCACAGCAAACCATTTGTTAAATTATTTTTAATGCAACTCATGATGAGTAGAGTACAAATTGTGAAAAGATCAGATCTTTCCAGGTTGTCATTTTAAATGCCTATCATGTTAGTGATAGTGAAATATAAATTAATATTCAACATGAAATTTTTTCTATATATCATTTCCTTTTGTATTGAAAGATGACTCTTCTGAATTAGAAAAGTCACTCTCTGACTTTCTATACTTTCTTCAGTTAAATCATTATTAACAGAACTCATAAACATCATAGTTCATAATTCATAGGTTCATGTTTAAATTTTGAAGCCAGTTAAATTTATGCTGATCTGAAATTTTTGCTCAGAATCAATTACTCTTATTTGGGTTTTTGCCATTGCAACTGATTTTCCTTTTTCCACAGCTACTCTAAATAATATTGAATAATATTTCACTGAATCCTTAACACTTTTCTTCCACCTTCCCTGCTTATAGTTTATGGTTTCTACAGTTTGGGGGTTCCTTTGAAATCCGTTCTCTGCATCTGTTCTTACGGGGATTTGATTTGCCACATTCCAGGACCTCAGTGCAGGTGGTTCTCCTGGTTGTATGATGCTCGTCGAGGCAGGTAAGTTGACAGCTAGGGCCAGATGTAAGGAGAAAATCAGGTCTTAGATTCGTGTAAGACCACTGCCCTAACAACTTCTGATAGGTCCTTGAGCTAGTGGAAAGAAGCTAAGGAATGTGGAATTGAATTTCCAAGATCAGTATCTATTACAAGAAGGAATAAGAGGGTGCACTGAGTTGATTATTTTCTATTTTTTGTTCCTGAAAGTAGTATGCATGTTTAGTCATTAACAAAAATGTTAGTCTTGCTTACTTTAATGTTCCAGAAACATTTATTCTTCTTTTGAAATAAACAAACAGGTGGAATCTGTCTGAGGATGCTTAAGAGAATACCTTGTTTTCTTTTCAGGAAAGTGAATTTTACAAATTAATTCTGTATGTTCTCCCTAGAGTTTGATTGAATTCTGTACTAATAAATTACTGTTTCTCCTGTCCTTTGTTGGGTTATTATAATTGTACAATAGCTTAGGTTGGGCAATGTTGAGTTCTGTTTGTGCAGTGTTTGATATGTTTCAAAAGGACATTGGGCTTGGGGGAACTCTTCTTGAGTCTAGATTCTATACAGGGACTTCAGGGGCTCCTGTACCTCTGGGCTAAGTGCATATCCTTTCTAACCAAATATTGACTTCTGGACTAATCCCAAGGCTTTTTGTCTGAAGCTGTAAAGTGAGAGCAGAAATGCTGCTTTGAGTGAGAGAAGTCCAGGAAGCAGTAGGTTTCGTCTTTCCTGAGCCTGCCCTGGCCTTGGTGAGTTTGAAAGTGTTGACAGTCTTTAGCCCCTTTGGCAGAGAATGAGGATCAGAAAGAGAGAAGTCCTCAGGCAGGGGGCCAGGTCCTTACTTGCCTCATTAGGGAGACTTTAGCCTTGTCTGTCTGGTTGGCAGGGCACACTTAATCACTGAGACCCAGCATTTCAGCAGCTTGCAGAGGAAACTGATATGAAGGGACAGCTGCAAGTGAGCCACAACCTAGATTTGAGGAGACCAAACACTCACTTCACTTGGAGGAAAGAGAAAGAAGGAAGCCGAGGGCTTAGCAGGGTAAGTTACTTTCCCATCGACCTGCTTGCTTGCTTTATAATTGAGTAAAGTATTTAGCACCCTGGGAAGTGTTAATCACTGATTAAGCAGATGAATGTGGTCATAATAGCAATGTCCTTAATGTAGTTTTTCTTTTTCTTTGCCCTTTTTGAGGATTCCCAGTGACCATCTTTACTCTCCCTTTTCTTTTTCCAGAGATGTTTCCAGTTTGCTCATGAATTAGAGAAAATTAGGTGGGCCCTCTTGGTCTAAAAATAGTGAGAAAATTACTGTATTAGGTGAAACTTTGGGCTTCGGGTGGCAAGGATGGAGAAAAAGGGGATATCTGGGTCTGGGAATTGGTTAGTATTGTGGTTTGTAATTTGGAGATGGAGTTTTCCTAGGCCATGAAATGTATGGCTCCTCTCCTCTAGTCTGTGGTGTTAGTGTTTTCTTTCTCATATATTGGGAGTGACTAGAAAAAATTTTTACAGTGATTCTTTTCTAGGTAGGGTGGATTGAACTCTGGAAAGTTCTGAAAGCTTACCGCAGTTAGGCATCTCCCTTTTATCTCTCTCCTGTCCTCTTCCTAACCCCCCCCCCCTTTTGTGTTTCTACATCTACACCCTTTGAACTTGGAGAAGGCCAGTGATTTTTGCAGGAAAATTGGAGCCAAGGAAGCTATGTCTGGTTCTAGGGTACACAAACTCAGACATGAACCTGATGATGATATATGTGTGTGCAGACCCAAATGCCAAAACTTGACTTCTTCCCACCTTCTTATCTTCCTGCCAGGAAGCAAGCTTATTTGTACCATGGATCATGAATATGCTCTAGACACAGATGAGACTGTGACTTAGCGATTTCACCACCATTGTTTTTCATTTCCAGACATTTCAGCCAATGCCCATATCCAAGAATTAATTTTGCATTAGAGACCTCTCTGAAAATGCAGCTAAGCGAAGCAGACCTTTTTTAATCATAACTGGCTCCCACTGTAGCAAAAAGGCTATGGTTTAACATACAGAAGATATTTATTGTAACTCCTGAGATTTAAGACCCTAAAGTTGTCTCAAAGATACTTGTTTCCATAACCATGAAAAAAATATTCATTCAGGGCTGGCACTGTGGCACAGCGGGTTAAAGCCCTGGCCTGAAGCACCGGCATCCCACATGGGCACCGGTTCTAGTCCTGGCTGCTCCTCTTCCAATCCAGCTCTCTGCTGTGGCCTGGGAAAGCAGTAGAAGATAGCCCAAGTCCTTGGGCCCCTGCACCCACGTGGGAGACCCGGAACAAGCTCCTGGCTTTGGATCGGTTAGCTCTGGCCGTTTCGGCCAGTTGGGGAGTGAACCAACAGATGGAAGACCTCTCTCTCTCTGTCTCGACCTCTCTCTGTAACTCTGTCTTTCAAATCAATAAATAAAATAAATCTTTAAAAAAAAAAAAAAAGAAAAAAAAGGCTACCCAACTGAAAACTACCCCAACTGAAGACTTGCTGTCCTAAAAAAAAAAATCGTCCTTTCAAGATTTAAGAAGCTGTTAAATTGCCTGAAGGGAGTAGGTAGACAGAAAAGATAAATAAATGCTTTTCTAGAATGATAGTAATTCTGAAAATGCATTGAGAATGGGGGTGGTTAAAAGTGGAGGGCACCACTTTTTAATTGTATATGTAATTAGTTATTGCTGTGTGCTGAAGACTGCGAAGGAAAAACAGAGGATTAAGTTAGGTCAGATGTTGGAAATGGGATCCAAAGGCGTCCCATCACTCTTTTTTTTTTTTTTTTTTTTTTTAAAGATTATTTATTTGGAAGTCAGAGTTACACAGAAAGAGAAGGATAGGCAGAGAAAGAGAGGCCTTCCATCCACTGGTTTACTACCCAGTTGGCCACAATGGTCAGAGCTGTGCTAATCTGAAGCCAGGAGCTTTTTCCTGGTCTCCCACATGGGTACAGGGGCCCAAGGTCTTGGGCAATCTTACATTGCTTTCCCAGGCACAGCAGAGAGCTGGATTAGAAGTGGAGCAGCCAGGTCTCGAACCAGTGGCCATATTGGATGCCAGCACTGCAGGCTGTGGCTTTACCCACTATACCACAGTGCTGGCCCCCATTCATTTTTAAGGAATGTAAGGGTCATGTCCCTTAAACCCTATGATAATATGGTATCATTAGGTCCAATGTCTTGTTCATTGGTGATATTGTAGAGGATATGGTACACGATTGAGCTTAGTAGTCTCTTTTGTGGACTCTAAAAACCATTCAACCATGGGATAAGGGGAGATACATTAAAAGAATGGATGGATGGGTGAGTGAAACTCCTGTTAAGCCTCTGCTTGGACTCTTATATTCCATATCAGAGTACCTGGGTTCGAGGACCAGCTCTGCTTTTTAGCCTCTCAATCTGTGGATTTCTCTGCCTCTCTCTTTCTTTCTCCCTCCCTTTTGAAATTCTTTTATTCTGGGGAGGGGGAGGAGAGGAGAGGAGAGGCAAGGAGAGAGAGAGAGAGAGAGAGAGAGAGAGAGAGAAATCTGCCATCTACTGATTCACTCCCCAAATACCTACAACAAATAGGGTTGGGCCAGGCCAGAGCTAGGAGCTGGAAAGTGAATCTCAGTCTCGCATGTCAGTGGCAGTAACCCAACCACGTGAGCCATCACCATCTGCCACCATCACCAGCAGGAAGCCAGAATCAACAGGGGAGCTAGGACTCAACCCCAGCTGCTCCACTATGGCATATGGATGTCCCAAGTTGCATCTTAACTGCTAGGCCAAACTGCCCACTTTCTTTCCTTTCTTAACTGAGGCAAAATTTATATAACAAAATTCATAAAGTGAGCAATTAAATGGCATTTAATGAATGCATAGTATTGTACAGTCTAGTTCTAAAACATTTTCATCATCCTAAAAGGGAACCCCATAACTGTTAAGCAGTTACTCCCCATTTCCTCTTTGCCCTGTCCCTGATAACATCAATCTGCTTTCTGTCTCTGGATTTACCTATTCTGGATATTTTGTATAAATGTTATCATAAAACATGAAAACATTTGTATCTGACTTCTTTAACTTTGCACAGTATTTTTCAGGTTTGCTGTGACATGTTTCAGTATTTTATTTCCTTCTATAGCTGAATGATACTCATATGGAAATATATATGTATTGATTTATCTTCCTCAATTTGTTTATTCAATATTCATCTGTCAGTAGCTTTTTTTGTTGTTGTTTTTTGCTTTTGACTATTGTGAATAGTGCTGCTATGAACATTCATGTATAATAATTTGTTTGAGTACTTTTAATTATTCAGGATATATGCTTGAAAATGAAATTACTGGGTGAATTTGAAAATTGAAATGAAATTCCTTTTTGAGGAACTGCCATACTGTTTTCTATAGTGGGTGTACCATTTTATATTCCCACTAGCAACTCATGTTTGAGGCTTCTTCTTATTTCATATTCTCATCAACGTTTGTTATTTTCTATTTTTTTATAATAGCCATCCTACTGGGTATAAAATGATATCTTATTGTGGTTTTGATTTGCATTTTCCTAATTTACTAATTGTTCACAATAATTTGTTGTCCACATATATTGCATATATTGTTTAGAAAAATGCTTATTCAAATAGTTTTCTCATATTTAGTTAGGATTTTTTAATGTATATATTGGATATAAACCCCTTATCAGATATTTGATTTGTAATATTTTCTCTCATTCTGTGGGTTGTTGTTTCACTCTTGATGATGTCCTTTGATGCACAAGTTTTGAATTTTGATCTAGTCCAATTCATTTTTTCTTTTATTTTCTTAATTTTAATGGCATATAGAAGAAATTGTTGTCATGAAGTTTCCTCCTATGTTTTCTTCTAAGACTTAGAATTTTAACTCCCATGTTTAGGTCTTTGGACTTACATTTAAGCTCAAGGCGTTACATTTTATTAATTCCCAGCGTGTTCCACTCTTCATTTTTATGCTCATCCTTTTCTCTGTGCTTAGAATTCCTTCTTCCCCTCTCCATGTACTCAAATTATTCCTATCTATTAAGGTCTAGTTTACTTACTACCTGCTTCATGAAGTCTTCTTATGGAAGAATAAGTCTTCCAAGGAATCCCTTCTTCTGATCTCTAATTAGTGCTTTAGTTTCACTTTTTTTAAAAAAATAGAATTTGTATAGAGCCATGTAGTTTACATCTAATCTCTCTATAGGACTTTTAGATGAGATGTATGTTTTTCATATTTGTCTCCATACTGTATGTTGAAACTGATTTTATATGTTTACCAATAAATATATATTGAATGAATGGGTGCTTTTTTCTTTCAATGTGTTTCCATTTTTTTACTCATCCCTTCTGGAAGTCATGGGAGAAGACAAAAAGGAAAAGAGGGTATCACAAGAGTCCCAGGTAGCTAGTACGTGAGTATGGTCTTAGTTTTACTTCAAAACTTATCCCTTAGGCAGTTTTGCTAGTAGTTTGCTTGACTTGGCTTTGAGTATATAATTCAGCATGTGGTGCTAATTTTATGTTGCATTTAATTTCTACTTATTGGTTTCTTGCTTATAAATGTGATGATAGGTCTTTTAAAATGAATGTTTTGTCTTACCAATGAGATTAGATTGGCAATTTCTGTTTCAGTAGATGGTAGTTTGGGACTACTAAGACTTCTATTGTTTTTTCATTTCTTACATTGATTGTTAAAATACTGTATACTAATAACATGTGAATATATTCTTCTAAAAAATTCATTCATTATAGGTTAGTCTAAAGGCCCCTTTGGCTATCTCCTATTCAGTTAATCACTGTTACCAATTTTCTAAGTACCCTGCCAGAACCCTTTTGATGCACTTACTTACATATATATTCATATTGTATATAGAACTTCATATGTAGCACATAAAATGTAATAATATATAATAATTATTTTTCACAACTGCTTGTAGTAGTTATCAGTAAATACTAAATCAATACCTGGATCTTCCTGATAATCTGGGTCTGAGAAACTGGAATGAGAAATGCAAGCCCAAGTGTATAAAAACATATCATCCATGTCCAGCTTGCAAAATTCCATTCCATGTCTGTTTTGCGTGTAGTCCCCAGGTATCACTAGACAGACCATGGCTCCCCGGTCCCGGAGACGAAGGCATAAGAAACCTCCCTCATCAGTGGTTTCCACGATTGTCACCCCACCTGCAGATGTGACCTCTGTACCTCTGACTCTCTCAAAACCCGGCCCTAGTATAGATGCACTTGGCTTCTTCTCTTTGGAGAATAATGTTCCTGGCCTGTCGCAGCTGATCCTTCAAAAGCTGAACATGAAAAGCTATGAAGAATACAAGTGAGTGAGCATCTCCATGGAAGAAGTATGTCTTTCATAAAAGTGATTACAGAAGGTGGAGTGGGAGTATAATTTGGGCAATATGGAGTACTTCCATTGAAGGATTTCCTCATTTTGACTTTTGCCAGTTTTATTCCTATAGAAGAAATAAAATTTTCTTGAATGAGAAATGGTGGGAGTAGGCGATAATAAGAGTAGTTGGAAATGTATAGAGGCAAGATGGGGGACATGAGAGCTTTTGGAGATACTCTTTCCCTATTGCCACTCCTCCACTGTCTCTGCAGGTTGGTGGTAGATGGGGGTACCCCAGTATCGGGCTTTGGATTTCGATGTCCTCAAGAAATGTTCCAGAAGATGGAGGACACCTTTCGATTCTGTGCTCACTGTAGAGTACTCCCCAGTGGCCTTCCAGACACCAAGGTCCTCCGGCACTGTAAGAGGTGACTTGTATGGGGCTAGTAGGGGAGGCATTAAAAAAATGACCCTGTTCTGAGACCTCATCCCAAGAGGAAAGATCGAGTGTTTTCAGAATAACTTCAGACCCATTCCATATTTTGTGTGATCCAGAAAGATTAGAACAGGGTTCTGTTTTCTAAAAAAAATATTTATTTATTCATTTATTTGGAAGGCAGAGTTATAGAGAGGCAGAGGTGGAGACAGAGAGAGCTATCTTCCATATGTTGGTTCACTCCCTAAATGGCTGCAACAGCCAAAGCTGGACTGATCTGAAGCCAGGAGCTTCTTCAAGGTCTCTCACGTAGGTGTGGGGGCACGGGGCTTAGGCCATCTTCTACTGCTTTACCAGGCCATAACAGAGAGCTGGATTGGATCAGAAGTGGAGCAGTCAGGACTGGAATCGGAGCCCATATGGGATTCTGGCACCATAGACGGCAGCTTTACCTGCTATACCACCGTGCTGACCCTAGAACAGGGTTCTAATCCTGCTTATTTTTGGTGTTATAGGGAGATCAGAGGAGAAACTACAATATAATCTCCACTCCTTTTTGAGTACTTAAGGAGTAAAACCACATCTGTTGTAGAGCAATTAGAGTTGAGCCATGACTTGATGAGAGGGCAGCTGCTAACTCCTGTGTATCTTTCTTAATGATATTTAAAAATTGAGTTGTTCCTGACAGAAACTGAGGTGTCAGTCTGAGAGAATAATGATTTTCCCATTGCTTCCTACCAAATGTCATCCTCAAACTTCATGCATCAGTGGTAATTCTTCTCTGCAGCATCTTTATTCATTCACTAATCTTTCTTCCTAGGTTATGAGAATTATCAATTTCCTTTCTTAGACACCCCCAACCTTTTTAGTATAGGAACATCTATTTCTGTGGCTCATTCTCATAGGTGCAGAAATGTCTATTACTGTGGTCCAGAGTGCCAGAGGTCAGACTGGCCAGCACACAGGAAAGTTTGTCGAGAGCTTCATCTTGTGGCTGTGGACCGTCTCATGGAATGGCTTCTGGTCACAGGTGAAGTGGTGGTGTTGGGGCACCATGCCATATACATCACAATCGTGCTTAGAGAGCAGTATGAAAGCGTGTTGTTACAAGTTGATGTGGAGGGACTAGTGATCACTAGGAGGGAATTTTGAAGCCAGGGAGGGCTTAAGTCAATTCTTACTCCTTCTGTCCTGCAGGTGACTTTGTCCTACCCTCAGGACCTTGGCCATGTCCAGCTGACGTACAGGACTGGGATACCTGGTTTTCTATGAGAAGGTTACAGTTAGATACTACACTGGATGCTGTGATAGGTAGTCATGCCATGACCACCCTGTGGGCCAACGTAGGACGCCCAAGGCCAGACCCAGATGTTTTGCAGGGCTCATTGAAACGGCTTCTGACAGATGCCCTGTCCCGGCCCCTGACGCTGGGCCTAGGACTTCGGACCTTGAGGATAGATACTGGGAAGGCTGGAGGAAGTACAGTGCATGTGGTTGGTGCTTCCCACGTGGAGACATTTCTTACTCGCCCTGGAGACTATGATGAGCTTGGCTACATGTTTCCTGGACACACTGGCCTTCGTGTGGTCATGGTGGGTGTAGATGTGGCTACTGACTTTTTACAGAGCACTTCAGCTTCGACCCTGAAGCCTGGCACAATTCAACTTAGTGGCCACAGGGGCCTCTATCATGACTTCTGGGAAGAGAAAGTAGAGACTGGGCAAATAGCCCATCCCGATTTGGTAGTTGCATTCCATCCAGGTAAGAGTCTTGGGCCAGGGGAATACTGGGTGACTCCCATGAGAATTTCCCATCCTGACTCTTGTGTCTTTGGAAGACTATTTATTTGGTCTCGTTAAATACAATATGATTATATGATTATGATCTTGGTTGACCAGTTTCCATATGTACTATACCTGGGTTCAAAATTTTTCATCAAAGAACTTGGGGTGGTGTAGATGATGGCTTTTTTTTTTTTTTTTTTAAAGAGATTTGTTTATTTATTTGAAAGAGTTACAGAGAGGCAGAGGCAGAGGGAGAGATCTTCCATCCGCTGGTTCACTCCCCAAATGGCTGCAATGGCTGGAGCTGAGCCAATGCAAAGCAAGGAGCTTCTTCCAGGTCTTCCACACGGGTGCAGGGGCCCAAGCACTTAGGCCATCTTCCACTGCTTTCCCAGGCCATTGCAGAGAGCTGTGAAACAGAAGTGGAACACCCGGGTCTCTAACCAGGACCCATGTGAGATGCTGGCAATACAGGTGGCAGCTTTACCTGCTATGCCACAGCACCAGCCCCATTTTTTAATTTATTCTTTGATGATGGTTATTAGAGATGAACAAGTTGAGGGTTAGAGTGGACACAATGAAATATCTTGCTGTTAGGGTATCCCTCAGCCTTTCTCCTATTTCCATTTCCATTTTTGTTTCTTAGGTTTCCATGCCTCTGCGGATTTGATGGAGGCCTGGCTGCCCACCTTGCTACTACTTCGTGACTATGAGATCCCTACACTGATAACTGTTTACAGGTTTTGACCTCTTATTTGTGATACTTCTGACTCACACCTCTCTTTGTTTGTATAGATTAGCTCATTTCACTTACCCTTGCTTGTCTTACTTCTTCTGGTGAGGATGCTTTCCCTTCTCACATGGCTTTTTTATCCTGTTGGAGTAAAATCCTGTGCTAGTTAAAAGATAGTGTTTGCCTGGTCCAGCCTTAGGTAATTTTGGGGATTGGTGAGTACAAAAGTATCATGCTTTTGAGTAATTTCTCTTCTATCTCTTTTATAATCAATCAGAGCAATTTTTCTTCTCTCTCCTCTACAGCCACCAGGAGTTGGCAGCCTCTTTGCAGATTCTGGTGGACCTGGATGTGCACATCATTGCCTGTGGAGCTAACCCTTTCACATCCCGCAAACCTGAACAGGTCTATTCCAACCCCAACAAGCAGCCAGTGTACTGCTCTGCTTACTATATTATGTTTCTTGGCAGCACCTGCCAGTTGGATAAAAAAGAATTGGAAGAGGAAGTAGATGGTGGGGTTTTAAATAACTGAGCCAGATCCAGACCAGACATCTAGAAAATGGGGAAGTGAAATGACGCTACTGATGTTAGGTTTGTCATCAGCTTTGTAACCTACTGTAAGACTCTTTGATTGTACAGGTAAAGATTCTAAGCTGAATGAGAGCTCCAGTATGATGTTTCTCATTTCTAACACGTTAGCCATGGTAACCTCTAGTGGATTCTACACTTAGTGGCAAAGGGTTTGTCCTGGTAATGATTTATCTAGAACCTAGAGTTTGTTGAAGATTGCCTTGTGGAAGTTACACTTTCTAACTGAGAAGAATGAAAATTACCTTATTCTTCTGAAAAAGTTTTCTTCTTAGCCAGCAGTGGGGCAAAAAATAGAGATATGTTAATGACTTGAAGGAGTGCAAGAATGGACAAGTCAGAGAAGTTATTGGGAACACAAAGGAAGTTATCAGGATGGCAGCTCTCCTTTTTCCCAACTTTTTTTTTTTTTTCTTTTTAATTTAAGCTATACAAGTTTCATGTTTTTCATATACAGATTTTAGGAACCTAGTGATACTTCCCACCCCATTTCCTGGCTTTTTGAGAGAAATGTCTCATTTTTCTATTTTCACTCAGGGAATTCTGACCCTAGAGCAGCCCTGGTATTTTAGATATTCCAGAGTATATCAGACTTTACCTGAACATCCTGGAGTTGTTATCTCCTTTTCTACCATAATAAACGTGGTTTGGGGCTTCCTAAGTCATTTGTTTTATCTAATTTCTGGCTCGCCGGCAAATATTACTCACCTTCACCAACAACACCTCAGGAGTTTCCCTTTTGCAGAGGGAATGATTAGCATCAGTTCTCTGTTTGGGCCTGCCTCTTTTTGTTTTTTTAAGATTTATTTTATTTTATTTATTTGAAAGGCAAAGTTAGAGAGATAGAGAAGTTTTCCATCTGCTGGTTCACTCCCCAAATGGCCACAACTGTCAGAGCTGAGCCAATCAAAAGCCAGGAGCTAGGAGCCAAGAGCTTTTTCCTGGTCTCCCACGTGGGTACAACGGCCCAAGCAACTGGGCCATCCTCCGCTTTTTTTCCCAGGCACATTAGCAGGGAGCTGGATCAGAAGTGGAGTAGCTAAGGACTCACACTGGCACCCATAAGGAATGCTGACACTGCCAGCCGGGCTTTAACCTACTGTGCCACAGCACCAGCCCTGGGCCTGCCACTTTTAACAATGGTTGTCTCATGTCATCCTTCTGTCTCTTTTTAAAAATGTTGATTTATTTGAAAGAGTGACAGAGAGAAAGGGAGAGATAGAGACAGTTCTTCGATTTGCTGGTTCACTCCCCAAATGTCTACAACAACCAGGGCTAGGTTAGGCTAGGCTGAAGCCAGGAGTTAGGACTTCCATCCACATCTCCGATGTGAACAACTGGAACTGAAGTACTTGGGCCATCAACTGCTGCCTCCTAGGTACATTAAGAGGAAGCTGGATCAGAAGTGTATAGTAGTCAGGACTCAGCCAGGCACTCTGATAGGGGATGTAGGCATCCCAAGCAGCAGCTTAACCCAGTGCACAATTGCACCTGTCCCCATCCTTCTTTTATCCTACTGATGGTTAGGACATCCCCTCACTATTTATTCCTGAAACCTTGCCATGAGCTACAGACACACACAGACACAACCTGTCACTTGAATACACACATTTACACTCTTAATGCCCACTCTTACAAAGGTAATTTTAAAATTCATTGTTTATTCAAAACATTTAGTACTTACCCCATTGGCTTTGTAATGTGTATTTGGGGGAGTAGGAAGGTGAATGAAACATTTTTAACCTCCTGGGAAGGGAAATGGTTCATCTACAGAGATAACTTTAAGATGTAATATGGAATAAGAAACATGAGAGAGCCTAAAGTACTAAGGAAGTAGAGTGAAAAAAGATAACTTTGCTAAATGACAGTGAGGGTATTATGAATT